TTATCTCTGAAGCAGACGACTTCTCAAAAATTGTAGACCAGTGTTATATATGAAAATTTATCCAGAATAAAGTGAAGTGTGACTTTAACATGGATTAACTATTCCTGAAAAACTCTGTGTGGACATGCTTATTCTGGAATAAGAGTGCTTTATTATGAAATTGCTTAATACACTTCAAGTAAATTACTTCAGAATAAGGAGCTCTTATTATAAGAGGTTTCACTTATGGAGTTAATCAGGAATAGCTATTCCAGAATTCCTCGTGAAGATAAGCCCTAAAATAATGTTACACAAGTTCTCTCCACATCCTGATGAAGCTCTGGGAACTGTTAACAATTCAGCTTTGACGTGTCTCTCCCCATTTTGAAGCAGAATAATTAGGTTATTTTAGTCCTTTTGTTCTTCAAGCAGAAGCTGCCATCCAGAATTGTGTAAATACTGTAGTTTTAAGCAAAAAGCTGATTGAATGGTTTCAATCAATATCTCATAACTGTGTTGCTAGACAGCTGAGATTTGAAGTCAGTGAACAAATGGGAACTACCTGCCCCTTTTTACAAGGGAATGACTTTTCCACTCCCTTTTGATTGGGGCTGAAAGTACCTTAGAGGGGATGGTGTTCTTTCAACCAGCAGTGAAGAACACTATCCCCAAAGTATCAATATGATGACCTTTTAACAAATCTTTTAAAAATGTTATAGTATCTGAGCTTCAAAAATCAGAGATCGGGTGGGTGAGATAATATCTTACCTCACTCACTTTCTCTCTCTAATATCCTGGGACCGACACAGGTACAACACTGCATACTTCAAAAATCAGGCAATTAAGAATTAATTTTATTTTAAAATCTTTGTGAACTTTTATGATTATTTTCTTTTAGTTAATGGAGTTGCTTGGACCAATGAAACACCTAGACAGAAGAGTCATACGTTTAATTGCCGCATGATGGTAAAAACATCTCATGATCTTTTGGATGATGTGGGCAGCAACCAGGACTCGCGTCAGAGATATGAAACCATGCAGTGTTTTGCTTTATCTCAGCCAAGAGCTATGATGGAAGAAGGAGAAGGTAATTTTTCTACAGGAAAATCTTCTTACTACAGTTATTTACTACTTAATTTATGTTATGAAGCCTGGGGTTTCAGAATTCCATGTTTAGAATAATTTAGGAGTTAAATGCAAAATCCTCAAAACTCGTCTCCCATATTATGCCTTTATCTTAATATTGCAAGAGTCCTGCTCCTTTATAAGAAATGTAATAGAATAAATAGGACACAGAGGACAATAACTCTTTCATTGCAGATTTGCAGTCCTGTATGATTTGTGTGGCACGTCGCATCACTACAGTGGAAAGGGTATTTCCAACAAACCCAGAAAGCTTTATTACAAGACATGACCTTTCAGGTGAGAAATCTACTTGAGGTGAAGGTAATGGATGGCTCTTCTTGTTTTGTTTTGTATAAAAATTGTGGCAAATAAGTTGGAATAACTAATACTACTTATACTGTTGCCTTTCTTCCTTTAACTAGGTAATATTTCAAATTATTTACGTTACATCTTCCTCTAGAAGTATTCCTAAAGTGTTTATTAATCATATATCAAGTTAATGAAGACTCATTGAGATAATTTCTCCTTTCCTTCTGTAACATCATGAAACCTTTATAGTCTGCTGTGGTATTTAAATTTTAAATATTTAAACACATTATTGGGCAGTTTTTTGCTTTAAGATGCCAATCACCTGCAGCTCCTATTGATTTCAGGTGTAGTTCTTTATAATCTCTGCAAACCATGCCCTCGGGGTCTCCTTTCGGTTGCATAAAACCAGGGAAACCCAAAATTGTTATACGCTTTTGAGAATTTTGGCATTAACCTCTGGGTGCCTCAATTTCCTTATATGTAAAAATGATATGGTAATAACTTACCTCACAGGGGTGTTCAGAATTTATGTTCATAAAGCAGTTTGAGATCTTTGCATGGGAAGCTGTGTGTAAGTGAAAAGATTAGATAGACGCTTAGAAAACAACTTCAGTGCTTAGATGCTACAGTGATGGGTACATTATAAAAACATAATATAGACAATATTTGGTGACTTTTGAAATACTATTCTGTATTTTTAATATTAGGATTATATTTAAAATGACAGGGACTCTATGATTATCTTAAGTGTTTCTTTCCTGTGACAGGTAAACTCGTCAACATAGATACAAACTCATTACGGTCTTCCATGAGACCTGGCTTTGAAGATACAATCCGTCGGTGTATTCAGAGGTTTTTGTGCCATAATGATGGACAGTCCTGGTCAAACAAACGCCACTATCAAGAAGGTAGCTCAGATTGCAGTGTTCAGTATACTGTCTTTCTTGCTAGTTGCAAGTGTGTGTGTGCGTGTGAGAGAGAGAGAGAGATAAAACCACTAAGCTCTGCTATTGTACATGCTTTTCCATGTCTTGAACCAGTGGAAAACGCTCTTTCTCATATTTATAAACTGAAGGATGGTGAGATCTCTATTAAGGAGTGCCTGGTGTAGCAGCTGCCTTGTTGTTCAAGTATGTCCATTGGTGTTTGATAGGTTTTATGAAATATACTAGACAGATATTCCTGTAGATTAAATTTATCTGTTTGTCCACAAGATAGGTACAGCAGGAAAGCAGCAGATTAAGCCATGCTTCCTTAATGAGCTGCTAGCATGGCTGTACATTGACTTGGAGGGATCCGCTTTTAGCAAAAAAAAAAAAAAAAAAAATACAATAGATTACTTGTTAGCTTTTGTCAAGAAGAGGGATGTGCCTATTATGAAATAGACTGTGACTTGAAGAAGAGCTCTGTGTAAGTTTGAAAGTTTGTCTCTCATCAACAGAATTTGGTCCAGTAAAAGATATTACCGCACATACTTTGTCTCTCTGCCATCAAGTCATTTTATCTAGTTCTATGAATAGCCCTTAGTTGGTAATGTCTCTTGGTCACTGATTACCTTTGTCCCATTCATATGAGAGCTACAGATGAAAGATCATATTTAAACCTTTTTCCCTCTATGCCAAATAATCTGTTTAATAGAGCATTAATTATATAAATATGTTTACCCAGCTTTGTCTGGGGAATTCTAAGAGACATAAGCAATTTTAAATAGCTAAATACTAGAGTTGGCTGAAAAAGTGGAATTTCCACCCTTCAGGAAATTCTGAGACTTTGAAATTTTGTTTCATCCCAAATTTGGGACAAAACGTCAAAATCTTGGAATTTTTCATGAGATGACCTTATAGAAACATTTTGTTTTGATTTATATATTACATTATAATTTATAATTTACTATAAAACACAGTCAAAATTAGATGTTTCAACCTCATCAAAATGAACTGTTTAGATAATTTCCAGTTGAAAATTTCTATTAAATCAGTAAGTTTCCATGAAACATTTGAATTTCATCAGATCACCATTTTTTGATTAAAGTTGTTTTATCGGAAAATTTTTTACTACTCTGATAGATACTAATTATTGCATCACGTTTTGAGGGTGATTTGAAGATTGAAATGTCTAAACCTCTTTCTTGGAATCAAAGCAGACCATTGATAAATGCATCAGCAGCTTTAGAGTTCTGACAGATCTGTGCAGTCAGCAAAAACTATATTCAAATCGCCGACTGAGGAGATATCTGAGCCATTAGCGATTATCTTTGAAAACTCATGGAAGGCAGGAGAGATTCCAGAGGATTGGAAGAGGGCAAATATAGTGCCAATCTATAAAAAGGGGAATAAGGATAATGTGGGGAATTACAGACCAGTCAGTTTAACTTCAGTACCCAGAAAGATAATGGAGCAATAAGCAATCAATTTGGAAACACCTAGAAGATAATAAGGTGATAAGTAACAGTCAATATGGATTTCTGGAGAACAAATCATGTCAAACCAACCTAATAGCTTTCTTTGTCAGGGTAACAAGCCCTGTGGATAGGGGAAGCGGTAGATGTGGTGTACCTTGACTTGAGTAAGGCTTTGATACTGTCTCACATGACCTTCTCATAAACAAACCAGGGAAATATAGCCTAGCTGGAGCTACTATAAGGAAGGTTGGAAAACCATTCCCAGAGAGTGGTTCATAGTAAAGCTGAAAGTGCATTTTGAGTGGGGTCCCTTAGGGATCGGTCCTGAGTCAGGTTCTGTTCAATATTTTCATCAATGGCTTAGATAATGGCATAGAGAGTACACTTACAAAGTTTGTGAATAATACGAAGCTGGGAGGGGTTGCAAGTGCTTTTGAGGGTAGGATTAAAATTCAAAATGATCTGGACAAACTGGAGAAATATGGTCTAAAGTAAATAGGATGAAATTCAATAAGGACAAATGCAAAGTACTCAGTTTAGGAAGGAAAAATCAATTGCACATATCAAAATGGGAAATGACTGCTTAGGAAGGAATACTGCAAAAAGGATCTGGGGGTTATAGTGGATCACAAGCTAAATGAGTCAATGGTGTACCACCGTGTTGCAAAAAAAGTGAACATCATTCTGGAATGTAGTAGCAGAAGAGTTGTAAGCAAGACACGTGAAGTAATTCTTCCACTCTACTCCGGGCTGTCAAGATCTCAACTGGAGTATTGTGTCCAGTTCTGGGCACCCCATTTCAGGAAAGATGTGCCAAAGTGGAGAAAGTCCAGAGGAGAGCAACAAAAATGAGTAATGTCTAGAAAACATGACCTGCAAGGAAAGATTGAAAATATTGGGTTTAATTAGTTTGGAGAAGAGAAGACTGAGGGGGGCATTTTTCAGGTAAATAAAAGGTGAGGAGGAGGAGGGTGAAAAATTGGTCTAATTAATCTCTGAGGATAGGACAAGAAACAATGGGCTTAAATTGCAGCAAGAGAGGTTTTAGGTTGGACATTAGGAAAAACTTCCTAACTCTCAGGGTAGTTAAGCACTGGAAGAAATGACCTGGGGATATTTTGGAATCCCCATCATTGGAGATTTTAAAGAGGAGGTTAGACAAACACCTGTTAGGGATGGTCTAGATAATACTTAGTCCTGCCTTGAGTGCAGGGGATCACACTAGATCACCTGTTGAGGTCCCTTCCAGTCCTACACTTCTATGATTCTATATTTTGATTTGCTCTCTACCCCCTTCCCCCCTGTTAGTCTTTGGGAACTGTAGCAGTATGTTCCAAGTCTTTGGATACCCATCCTGTATCATGTCTGTTTTTTAATCTAGTTTTTCAGCGTATTAATCTGATGAGTATATTCAACAATTATAGTAAAGTTTACATAAATTACTTGGTCTTTGGAATCTGAAATACAAGCAGATTACCGCTGTGCAATTGTGTTTTTCCTCACAGCTTATATACAAGGCCATGCTGAAACTCCACTGTATCGGTTCTCCTTAGCAGATGGTACTATAGTGACGGCACAAACAAAGAGTAAACTGTTACGAAATCCAGGAACTAATGACCGTCATGGATTTGTCTCCACCCACTTCCTTCAAAGGTGAAATTAACAATGTTCATCTGTCAGATTTAAATATTGTAGCTTTTTAAAAACACACATTTTTATTGATATTTAATGCTATATAACAGGAGTGGCCAAACTTACCGACCTTCTAAGCCACATACAATAATCTTCATTTTAACTGTAAAAGAGCTCAAGCCACAGTTTGGCCACCTCTGCTATATAAAGATTTGTTTAACCAAAATAAACAACATAAAACCCCACAAAACAATATAGTAAGCACACATGAAAAATTGTCTCATACGAATAAAATTGCTGTTTTAGATCTCACCTACAATAGGTTTATATATTTAAGAAACAAAAACCAAACAAGTTTTTTAATGCAGGTCTTGTTTTACTATCATAAACCCAGTCTACTATCATAATAGCTAATTGGTAATTTTCCCTCTGGGTCACTATTTTATCCATTCACTTTCCTCTAGAATGTATATTTTTAATAATAAAGCTTGGATGGATAGAAAGACCCAATTAAACACTTTATCCTCTTTGCCACTTTCTTACTGGAGATCCATTTAAAGACAAAGAAATGAACTGGTAAAATGTGCCATACATCTCTCAAGAAGTAAAAAGTCCGACTTTGCCTTAAATAGTACCTCCTGTGACTTGTCCCTGTTGATTGCAAGATTAATTGAAAGGCACTTTGGAAGTAGTCTGTGGCTGTCACTGCAGAAATGCTCCCAGCTGCTGGTCAATGAGCAGCTGAGATTGTTTATGGCGATATTAAAGTGTTTTTTCTGTGACAAGTGGAGTGGTGTCATTCATTGACTCGGAGAAGAAAGTGATACAAGAAGGGTGATGTTCAAAATGATAAATGCATAAATCTAAATAATGGCCAGAGATATAAAATGCTTTAATGGGATAAGATTGAGTTCCCCCCACAAATTAAATGACTTTTACTCCTTTATAATGTGTGAATGAATGAGCAGTATGGCCACTCAGTGACTCAAGTTTAGTGACACTTTTGTGGATGTAGCTTATGTATTTCTTGCTACTTTTTTTAGTGATTATTTAATGTTATCAATTCTCTTTACATGGAACTTGATTGTTATAAAGTTTTAAATGTTTTTCTGTGGGGTGGGGTGGCGGGATGCTGAATTTGCAGAGAACAGAATGGATATCGTCCAAATCCCAATCCAGTGGGACAAAACATCAGAGCATCTACAGCTGGAAGCACAAATTCTGTTGGTGCTATTATGAACATGTCACCAGGTCAAAGCATGCCAATGCAGAACAGAAACTATGGCATGGGAGATCCCAGTGCGATGGGACAGATGAGCGGCATTAGATACATAGGTCCTGGTAATATTGGACCCATCAACTCTGGACCAGGAATGCAGTCCTCTCCTTATCAGAACAACAATTATGGGTTAACGATGAGTAGTCCACCACATGGTAGTCCCAGCTTGACTTCCAGCCAACAGAACTTAATGATTTCTCCTAGGAATCGTGGGAGTCCAAAAATGGGTTCACACCAGTTTTCTCCAGTTGCAGGTATTTTATTTTTGGTACAAAATTTTCTCTAGGGTTTGCTTTTTGCCCCTTTTTATCTTAATTTTTTGTTCTTTTTTTATATATTATGGTCTTATAACATCTGAACTACTATACCTTAGTGTAAAATACCTAATTTTATGATGAGGATATATTTAAAGGTACAGTAATTAATGCTACAGTATTTCTTGTTTCTGCTATCTGTATTTCAGTTCTTAATGTGCATGCTTAAATAGACTTATTCAGTATAATGGTTACCTGGCAAGTAAAGTCAAATGTAGATATGATCGCTTCTCTTATGTAATAACTCTAACATAATAACTTTGATACAGGTATGCACTCGCCAATGGGAGCTGCTAGCAACACTGGCAACAACAGCTTCTCTAGCAGTTCCCTTAGTGCCCTTCAAGCCATTAGCGAGGGGGTTGGAACTTCCCTTCTATCAACACTTTCCTCACCGGGTCCAAAATTGGATAATTCCCCAAATATGAATATAGCTCAGCAAAGTAAAATGGGCAACCAGGACTCAAAGAGTCCTTCTGGCTTGTATTGTGAACAAAGTCAAGTGGAGAGTTCTATGTGCCAGTCAAACAACAGGGACCTCCTTAGTGACAAAGACAGTAAAGAAGGAAATCTGGAAGGGTCTGAGAGTCAGAGGGGACCAAATGAAAGCAAAGGTCATAAAAAGCTCCTTCAGTTACTCACATGCTCCTCAGATGAGAGAGGGCATTCTACGTTGTCAAACTCACCATTGGATTCTGGTTGTAAAGAATCTTCTACCAATGTTACAAGTCCCTCAGGAGTCTCCTCTTCTACATCTGGAGGGGTCTCTTCGTCATCAAACATGCATGGGTCCCTGCTACAAGAAAAGCACAGGATTTTGCATAAATTGTTACAGAATGGTAATTCTCCAGCAGAAGTAGCAAAGATCACAGCTGAAGCTACTGGTAAAGATACCTACCATGACTCCAGCAATACAGCCCCCTGTGTAGAAGGAACTATCAAACAGGAACAACTGAGTCCTAAGAAGAAGGAAAACAATGCTCTACTCAGATACCTACTAGACAAGGATGATATAAAGGATCCACTTTCAAAAGAAATGAAACTTAAGGTAGAAGGTCTGGATAATAAAATGGGACACTGCAGTAGCTCCTCTATTCCTACTTCAAGTCAAGAAAAAGAGATTAAAATAAAAACAGAACCTTCTGAAGAGGTAGAGTATTTAACCTTGTACAGGAATTTTGTTGTTGAACTCACCAATATTTTTCTTATTAGAGTTAACCACCAAAAAGGAGACCATTCAATTTTTGTGTATGATTATTTCCAAGACAGTACTGAGTAACCACAGCATAAAAACATATGTTTAGTTTTATGATAGTTAACAGAGTACATTTAACTTGAACAACAGTATATATTGTAATAAAATGTGCTATACTGGAGTTCTTTGAATAATATTAGTATTGAGCTATCAAACAAGGCAAAGTATATTTAGTTTAGTTTATTTAAAATTAAATCTTTAAAATAGGCAATTTTACATAGCATATATTTATTTTCATGGGTCATTTGGAAATGGAGCTGCCAGCTGACTCAATAAATTAGTTGTGGGTGCTACAGTAGGAAGTAAAAGAGAATGAACATAAGTGGAAACGATCCATTTTCTATATGCAATTCGGTTTAAAAATGTGGGGTGCTAGTTTCTCACACTGGATTTACACAGAGGTGGTTCCGGTGACATTGCCGTTGATTACATTGGTGTAAATGTGAGAATGATGCCAGTGAATCCTGTAAAGAAAGTCTATAACTGAATATATATTATGTGATTTGTGCTTTTCAGTACTTTAGATGTTTAAAAAAAAAAATCTTCGGGAAGTTGGAGAGGAAGTGCCATCAAACAACTTGTTACATGTACATACAGTAGCCAAAGCTGATTCTTTAAATTGTTCCGTACAGGCAGGCCCCTGTGCCTGAATGGAAACCCATTTTGTCTTCAAATGTTACTTCTTATCCCAATTTAAAACACTATTTGAAAATGTTCAACTGTGTTTAAATATATCTGAATAGATGCTTTCATAATCGAAAGTAGTTGAATTTAGGCCTGTGATTCTGCAACTGCTCTGCCTGGGCTGGCTCCTTATTGAAGTCAGTGGTGCTCTTGGTAGGCATAGGGGCCTTGTAAAGTTCTTCAGGGAAGGACTGTGTATTTCTGTACAGTGCCTAGCACATTTTGGGAACTACTGCAATATAAATAATGTTGATTATTCATAGGGTGGTTTTTCAATAATCATCTGGAGTTTTCTGTACCATATAGGAAGACAATTACCAACTGCTATGTAGTTTATATATACATGTGCTCTTTAAATCTCTGAGAATTATGGAACACTTTCATGGTGAGGTTATAATCTAGCAAACTAACATAGATCTATTTTGTTCAAACTATGTGATTCAGGTATTGGCATGTACAATTATAATAATTGTAACTATGAATTAAAGTCATGCCCGTAGTGCTTTGCTTTACCATTCAAACTTTTGAGACTAATGCGGAGAAGTCTCTAAAATTTGAGATGCTAAAGATATTTGCATTCAGGTTAATTTTTTGTGTAACTACTTTTTCCCTGAAGTTTTGCTTTTCCAAAACCAACAAAGCAAAATTAACCAAATAGTTGAATGATGTCTGAAGAATTCTTTGGAAGTCAGCATTAAATGTCGTAACTGAACTAAAGTGTTTGACTGCATATGTTGCTAAGGGTTGTTAAGACTTGTGAGGGGCTAAATGGAATGTTAAAGGATGAATAATGTGAGAGTAGTATTTTGTTTGTTTTTTTTCCTTTTAGATGAGTGGAGACTTGGATAATTTGGATGCAATACTGGGTGATCTGACTAGTTCTGATTTTTACAATAATGCTATGTCTACAAATGGGAATAGTCTTGGAACTAAGCAAACATTATTTCAAGGAAATGCCCCATTGGGTAAGGAAGTTGACTTAATTCCACTTTTCTGTAAAGTTAGGGGCTATTGTGTGATTTGCTTTCAATGTAATGTACATTTAACTCCTTCTTTGCTTGATGAATGTTTTGTTTCAGATTTGCTAGGAAATCAGTCTACAGGAATAAGTGATATGTGCAGGGCTAGTTATCCATTGGTAGATTGTGTTTATATAATTAGCGTGAAGAAGTATTATGAAATATCAGAGGACATTGAAAATCCCTTTTCAGCCAGCATCTGATTTTTACTAAATTTTAAAAATTGATACAGAGCTGTGTATCTGAATTGTGGGCCTTGCCAATGGGCATGTCCAGACTCTAGCATTACAAAGAGCAGTCTCAAGAGCTTTGTGTGCCCTACAAATGTGGAGTACAGTTAACTTCTCTTCACTTCCCATCTCATGGTCCTCCTTGCACTTCTCTAATGTTGCACTCTAGATATCCACACACCAAAGACAGTGGGAAAATATATTGTTATGAATTGGGGCAATTGCAGATTAAAAGAAGTAACTAAATCCTTGCAGCTGGCCAGGGAAAGGCTGAGGGATGAATGGCAAGCTTCTGATTTGCCACTGCTCTCCCAGGTACCGTTAGGCCTGCACCATCTAATGACTACTTCTACTTTTATTTCTAAAGGGCTGGCCATCCCTACCAGTAGAGGGAGTGGGAGGGAAGGTTAATGTTACATGTGAGATGCCATCATTACCACCATCGCTGTGTTCTACATCTGTCTCAGTGCATAGATACTATAGTGATAAACACATTACAAAAGCTTAAAATAGATATCTCCTGGCAAGTAAGTTTACTCCTATGGCTAGTAGATGTCTAGTACGTTTTTCAAGCTCTCCTGAGGAGTGTCGGAGATAACCAAATTTCATACTGGAGGTGGACCTTGTGGGTCTTTGTTTGCTTTGAGGCAATAATTTTTGCATTTTGATGTATGTAACTGGTATATATATCAAGGGCAAACCAAAGAGTAGGAACCAGTATGGGTTTTGATAGAGCAAGTTGGTTCCAGGTATTTCACAGTAGGATGAGGGTGTGTTAGCAAAAGAGGTGTAACCTGAAAGTGAATAAGGCTGGAGAGCCCAATGGGATTAAGATGCTTGAGAGAATTGTAACTTTCTAAGGGTGAGGAATAGAACCTTGCTTTCAGTTAAGATTATTAAGAGAGGTGAGTTGCACACTTACTTTGGAAGGACAGTACTTTCCAGACACACACCAAGTTTTGTGAGAATATACGATGGATAAAATAAGAACTGAAGACCAACACCAATATATCAAGAGGCATGCACAGTGCTCATGAAATTGTAATACAGTATATGCCGGGAGAACACCTAGACAAAGAATCCTAGATTGTAATTTAAAATGTTTGATCATATTACACCTAGGGTCCAAGGACTTGTTTGGCTTATCTGCAGGGACAAACACCTAAAACAAAATAGTCATTCATGGCTTGTTAAATGTGTAGTGTAATTGCTCAAAAATAGATATAACTTGTATAAATCATCAGTAGGGCATTCTATTTCTTGTTTAAAGATGTACAGTTGAAAGCATCTTTTAATTCTTTAACAGGTATGAGAAGTCCCCAATCTGTGCAGACTACCCGTCCTCCTTTCAACAGAGCCATGTCTTTAGACAGCCCAATACCTGTGGGTTCAAGCCCTCCAGTGAGGAGTGTCAATGCATTCTCCATGTTACAAAAGCAAAACATCATGGGTGGGAGTCCAAGAATGATCGAGAACCAGGAAAATTTTGGATCAAACATGGGTTTGTTGATGACATACAAACAGATCTCATTATAATTGAAAATATTGTAAAATTTTAATGTGCTGAAATTAGTTAAAACCCTGAATGTATAAGAATGAGTCATGTTAATCTTTAATATTTACCATCTAAATCATTAAACTGATTTTAAGCAACTATTATTATCCATAGCTGGAGTTATTAGGTTATAGCTGTATCCCAGCCATGTGTTCTACTGGGACTTTGTTTTAGCTGAATTATTAAAAAAAAAACTGTTTTGAAATACTAAAGTGTCTATTTAATGTGTGGTTGACAAGATCAGTTTGTGAGAGCAGCCAGTCAAAAAAATTTGTTAATATTCTTAATTTTGGCTAAATTAATATGCTTGGAAGAAGAAATGAAGCATGCCATGGCCAGATTTAATAGGAGTTCAGTAATCTGTTCTCTGCTCATTGGCTGTTGTCACTGTAATTAGTGAGAAAATAGAAATGGTTCCAATAAAAAAAGTTATCATATGTTCTATAGGAGAAATAATCTTTTATATGCTCTTCATTGTACTAGGTGGACCCAACAGAAATATGGCTATGAATCAGCATCCAGCAGGAGACTGGGTTTTGCCAAGCTCTAAGGTTAACAGACTGGAACCTACAAATTCTGGTTCAATGGTGAGACCAGGACCAGACTATAACCCATCCCTTCCCAGACCTACAGTGGGTGGCTCCATGCCTGGTTTGCCCATCCGGTCTAATAGCATACCTGGTACAAGACCAGTGCTACAACAGCAAATGATTCATATGAGTAAGTTCTTTACATTTGTATAAACCTATTTAATAAAATGCATAGTTGTTTGTTGATCAGGCATTCAGAATAAAGATCCTTTTAATTTCAGTATCTGGATTTACATCCAAAGACAGTTAATTCCTTGAGGCAAGCTCCATATTTTTCTCTTGTGCATGGAAAGTGCCAGCACACTGTAGAAAGTTCCTTAATCTTAATGATAATTAATAATTTCAGACTAAGGAATTCCATATTTAATTATTTGTCCGTATGTTTGCTTATATTTCCAATTGGAGGTGTCATTTTTCCTATCACACCAAAAGAAAAAAAAAAGAGTATTCATATATTGATAATCTATCTCTATATTCTTCTTGGAGATGGCTTCTACATATTCCCGCCTATGAAATTCAGAGTTCTAGGAACCACTCTATAGTTAGCTGCAGGTGTAGGGACTCTGTATCAGGAGTTTTAGGAAATCTAGTTTAAAAGAAAAAAAAACTATTTTAATTAGTAATAGTTATTGGTGGTAATATTGGTTTTACTAGTATGTACATAGCTTTTTAGGTTGTCTAAGGTAGTTGTAAAACGCTTTTTTAAAAAAAATTCTGCACTATCATGCAGTTAGATTCTTGGACCTACTATGGCTCTTTTCTGGGGTGTCATGTCTCATATAGAACCTAAAGACCTCTACTAGAGAGACCGGATTTAAATGGCGATCTCATGCCCTTTTGTCATCCTAAAACTAGCTGATCCAAGAAGAAATCATTTTACAGTGTTCAGAAGATGCTTCTTTAAACTTGACCCATATTGATGCTTGACCACTTGGTACCTGAACCTCTCATCACTGTTTTCCCCAGGGCAGAATTGTCCTGCATTTGCATCCAGATTTTTTTTTATCAAAATTAGTGTCTGAGTTTCATGTGAAGAAGACTATCAATGCCCTGTTCTTCTTTTTAAAACATGATGCTCATATGAGAGAAACGAAGCTTCATGCCCAAAATGTTAAGTGGGCCGTAAGTTTTAATTAAGAGAGAACTCAACCATTAAAGAAATTTTCCATGCTTTTTATAGCATTTTGGGATCAGTGTAAAGGAAATGCCATTTCCACATAGCACCTCTCAAAGTCAATTGGACTGGACCCTTAAACTTGTTATACTTCAGCGAAGGTTACGGTACCCAAGGGTCTGAGGGCTCACTTTACCAGGGCTAAGGCAGGATCAGTGGCATTTCTCTGACATTTCCATCATAGAAATCTATTGCCTAAGGTTTCTCAGCCCTACTGTCTCAACTTGGCATTGGGATGTGATGCTCAATTTGAGAAGACAGTTCTGCAGTTCTTGTTTAATTAGAACTCCTCAGCCCATCTTGCTGGAAATTGTATTGCTAGTGAATTCTTATAAGTGGAAATCTGTAGAATACAGCTGAGTTTTGGGAAAAGTAATGCTTGTTGGGACAGCACAAATGCCCCCACACTGCACTGTTTGTTTGGAGATGTTAAATGGTGATGTGATCCCCAGCCGGCTCAGTTCTTTCTGTTAAAAAACAGAATTCAATGGGAGTAGAACTTCTGGTAAGAGGGAAAGGTGAATGGATAAGGCAGAGGCAACACACTCAAATAACCAGTTGCTGATAAGTAACTTATTTTGTACTTGTCTTTAGAATGTCACATGTGTTCATGTCACTATTACAGTGCATGATTGATAGTGTCCTGACTTCACTGGCAAGAAGAGCGGGGTGGATAAAAACTGATACTTTTTTTTAAATAAAAAAACTTTTTAAATTTAAATCTGTTTTTAATTTAAATTGAATACAGGTTATTGCAATAAAATCTAGACTATTTAAAATTAAATTTGAAATTATGACAATCTATGTTAAGGCCTAAACTTTTATAATCTATTAAAATAATTTAAATTAATTATATGAGTAATATTAAGCAGTTCTTGCTTGTTGCCAAATTTTAAAGAAAGTCAAACCACTTAACTGGTGGAAGTCAGTGTGGTGGAACCAGAGTTTGTTGATGTGCTAAACCAGCTTTTGACAGCAGTAGCCTCTTCTACTGGTGCAGAGAAAGTATTTTCTTAAATTCAACTAGTTCAGTTCAATATTAGCTCAAAGTTAAGAAACCAAATGGGAGTTGCAAAAGCAGGAAAGCTTGTTATACTTTTCCTCTTCCAATCTATGAATAGAATCTGGGTCTGAAAGGATGAGGTCTACTAGTTCTAAAATCTTGAAGGTCATGGTAACTAGAAACAATCAGTTTCGTTCACTAGCTACAGATAATACTTCCTTTGATAAATAAATCAGTTTTAAATGCCAAACATATTTTGATATACTTCTTGATAAACTTTTTTTTCTCATGTTTCAGCATATTTAAGGTAGTTTTATTTAACTAATAAAAATACCATTTTAAAATACAGGTTTTTTGCATTTTTAATTGAACTTTAATTTTCATCCAACTAGAGCTTGACACAAATCACAAATAAACAATTAATATTTTAGTAGATAAATGAATAATTTGCCATTTTCTACGATAATAAAATATAAACATTAAAAATCTGAATAAATGTAAATTAAGCTAGATAATTGCTTACATAAGTGTGCTTAAATATAGTGTATTCTCCTGGTTAGCAAAAAGTAGTACCAAATTTAGTGTAAAGGGTAGATTTAGTTGCAAATCAACATGTTTTAATGGTTACCAACCAGTGACAGTTAACATTTCTTTAGGAAAATAACTAAAAAGTATAAATGCAAAACAAGATTAAAATTGATTATTTAAAATAAGGTTTCCTGCTTGCTGATTTAAATCATGAATAAAATTGGGGATTTAAATCTCTTTGATTTAAATGAACCCACCCTGAAAAATCACTTTTGAATTATATAAGGTTACTGCATTCATATTGTTCCCATTTGAGGTGTTGTGGGACTGATACTAGACATCAAAATCATATCATGTAGAGAGCAATAGCTCTAGTCCTTCATGTCGTGTGTGTGTGTGTGTGTGTGTGTGTATGTATGTATGTACATGCTGTTTAAAGTATTTAGTTCTAATTAGACCGTTAACCTATTGAAGTTACCAGTATAACACACAATAATCTGTAGAATCCCAAACTTTTATTTCACATGTAAAGCAGGATGTTAAATTTTACCTTTGTTTTCAAAAAATAATAAAATTAATTTTACTTCATAGGGCCTACTGAGATTAATATGGGTATGGGAGGTAATCCTTATGGGCAAACAGGACCATCTAACCAGCCAGGATCATGGCCTGATAGCATGCTGTCCATGGAGCAAGGACCTCGAGGGTCACAAAACAGGTAGGGTTTAGAATAGGTGATGAAAGCTGCATAGTTTGAATATGACTGATCACTGCTATAAGAAGAGTTTAAAAATTGGAACAGTATTTGTTCTAAGATATGACTTTCTGAACCCCTTTAGTGCTTCCAGAGCCCTTTGTTCCATGAGCAGTGGGCACCAACTGACATAGAAGATTCATCAAAAAATGGGCCTGTGTCCTAACAGAACACTAACACCACCACCAATACGGCATACAGCAGATGTTAAAATAACCTGGTTTAACAGCTTTGAGGATAATTTTCAGCTTTGTTTTAATTGTTTTAAATACATTTTTATAAACACATACATGATGATATAATATGAAAATATGTGACAGTGCTACGTGAGAAGTTCCTAGAAGTGAACTTTGAAAGTTCTTTTCTAACTCTGAAAATTTCTCATCTCTCTTGCTATCATGGATTCATAAACTGGTAATAGTTGGATTTGATAGGTCTTTTCCATTTTAGTGCATGCAGTAGTGGATTTGGGAGTAAAGACTTCAGGCTTGTCTACATTAGCAGTTCATGGCAAGCTAGGGTGTAAATCTACCCTGCGCTAGCTTGCCATGAACTATGTATTTGTGTAGACAAGCCCTTAGTTTCTGTTTCCAGCTCTGCTGCTGTGACATTGTCCATGTCTGTTAACCTTTATACCTTAGTTTACCCTTCTGTAATATGGGTAATACTTACCCATTTCTGTAAAGTTGTTTGCTATCTTCAGGTGATATATGCTACATGTTTTTATAATTAATGGTTTTTAACTTGTTGCTTTATAGACAATTAGTTAGAAGTTCTTTGGATGATTTCTTATGTCCACCTCCTAACATGGAAGGCCAGAGTGATGAAAGGGCTCTTTTAGATCAACTGCACACCTTGCTGAGTAACACAGATGTCACAGGACTGGAGGAAATTGACAGAGCATTAGGAATTCCTGATCTTGTAAATCAAGTAAGTAACCCAGAGGTTTTTAACCATTTATTTTCCTGCTTCCTGTATGATCTTGGCACTTGGAAAGTGAATGAAAAAAGCATAACATCTCAACCTTTTAAAATCTGCTCCAGGCGTCCCTCTTTGATGAAAAATACTAACCAGTATTCATTAAACTTTATACCAAAAGAACTTGTATTATGTTTTTCAAAAAATACTACAGGTAAGAAGGTGTCATTTTAGCATAACAGACATGGATATATTCCAATTCCTGACTTCTTATAATATTTTATTAACATAAACAATTTGATATTACTATTTATTCCTGTTAGCACTGCAGAAGTAGCACAGCTATGGGAGAGTGAACTGGATTCTTGTGATTCATGCAGCCTCTACAGAGCTCAGATTGCAGAATACTTTACTGGCAATGATGTGCACATACAAAAGAACTCAGTATGGCTTTCCGATCCCAGACTGAGTTTGCATGGCTGGCTGTTAAAAATATAAAATAAAATATTTTTAAAAATCTTGTAGAATGAGCACATTTGATCTGGAAATCATTCAGAAACAGAACCCTGTACTGTCCGTTTTACAAAGTCATTCTTCGAAGTAAAACTACAAAGGCACAGGCAAAGTGCTGGGGGGATGGGGGAGGTGTTCAAACCCCAGGCCTTGCCCCCACTCCACCCCTTCCCCGCCTCTTCCCGCTCAGTTCCGCCCCCTCCCCTGAGTGCACTGCATCCTTGCTCCTCCCCCTAGCCTCCTCCACACTGCAAAACAGCTGATTGCAGCGGGCAGGAGGTGTGGGGAGGCAGAGTGAGGTGCTGATCTGCAGGGCCTGCTGGCGAGTGGGAGGCACTGGGTTTGTGGGAGAGCTAATATGGGGGTTGCTGGTGGGCATTCACTCACGAAAGCTTATACTCCAATACATCTTAAAGGTGCCACAGGACTCTCTGTTAATATTTAAAACGACACTATTCTTATTTGCAATATATTCTTTGTCTGTTAAAGGGGCAAACTTTGGAACCGAAGCAAGATTCATTTCAAGGTCAGGAATCTGCAGTTATGATTGACCAGAAGCCTCCATTATATGGTCAGCCCTATCAAGGGCAAGGGGCAGCAATGCCAGGAGGTTTTACTAACATGCAGGGACAACAGCAATCCTTTAATTCAATGATGAATCAGATGAGCCAACAGAGTAATTTTCCACTGCAAAGTATGCATCCTAGAGCAAGTCTAATGAGACCCCGAACCAATACACCAAAGCAGCTCAGAATGCAACTCCAGCAGAGGCTTCAGGGGCAGCAGGTAATCTTTTTTGTTTACACTTTTGTCTTCCTCCAAAAGATAGAAAACTTTGTTGCAGTGGAGAGAGAGGTAAAGTGAATTATATTACTTCAGAAGAATAAAGGGAACATAGAAATTGCCATACCAGTTCACATGAGGGGTGTCTAGTCAACCATCTTGTCTGACAGTGGCCAGTACCAGATGCTTTAGACTCTAGAACAGTGGTTCCCAAACTGGGGTTCACGAAATGTTACAGGGGGTTCTCGGGGAAAAAATTCCCCAATGGTGGACAGAGCTGTCCTTAGGGATCCCTGGCAGCCTGGAGCTCCTGGACTTCCAAGAGCTAAGCAGATCAAAGCAAGCATATCTATCACATTGAGGAGACTTAAACTTCAAGACTCCTTATAAGAAATGGAAAGGGAGGTGGATATTTTTTGTTCTTTTTAAAATTAAATAGGCAGCTAGTATTGTTTTTAAAATTATGATGAACAACAAGTTTAAGCTTTGTTGTAACATGCGTTGTTTGCCTGGACTGCTCAAGACCTGAATGCTTATGTAGGAGGAACTCTCTGAGTTGGCTTCTTAAATATCTTTATCCTCTTTCACATCTGATACTCCTTGATGAAACATAGGAGCCTTGTCTTATAACAGGCTTATTCAAAGTGATACAAGCTACAAAAGTCAGATCTTGGAAGAGTGTTGCTGTTTTCATAATGTAATAAAATACTGTAATGATAAATAATAATAAATAGTGTGTAATAAGCATGTCATAAAAACAAATTTTATATTTCCAAGATCACTGCTTTTATAATTTATACTCGGGTAAAGGAGAAAATCCCTGGAAATATTCATTTTTAGGAGGGGGTTTGTGAGAATTGACATTTTAGTGAAAAGGGTTCACAAGTTGTTAAAGTTTGGAAACCACTGCTCTAGAAGAAGGTGCAAGAACCTCAGTTTGGTCAACTAGTGAATAAGTTGCCCATAGGAGATATCTCTTCCTAGAACCTCCCAGTTAGAGGTTGGTTTTGCCCTACAGTACAAAGGTTTATATTGCTTCCAAATTTTTGTTCTTTTAAAAATAATCCTGTTTAATATAATTCTGGATGATCTCATTATCCATGCAAATGTCCAGTCTTTATTCTGAGTCTTGTTAAGCGCTTGGCCCCAGTGATGCCTTCTGTCAGTGAGTTCCGCAGTAAATATATCTGGCTTTTTAATAATTAAATAGCTTTTCAACTTATTTTGCAAATTAATTAATTTTTATTGTGTCAAAACAATGACTTCACAAATATCAAAATGTGCTATTATCTACCAATCACTCCCTCTCTGAATAGAGGCATTCAGATATCACTTGATTTGATTAATTGTATTAAATAAAATTTAAGTGAATGGTGGTGGTACTTTTTTTAAAGTATTGTTTGTTCTCCCTTATGAATCTGATCCATTTTAGATACCCTGATGTTATGGTGATAGGCACAGTATAAGAAACAAGATAGATTTTAACACTGTGCCATAAAAATTTAAAAAAGGGTTATTTGTTGTCTCACCGTTTTGATTTAAATTGAAATATTCTGTTAAGAAATGTAATTTGTGTGCCACAGTAGAGTGCAACCTTTATTATCCATAAGTCATTGGGGAACACTGAATATGTTTTGAATAACAAAAGTAACTGATAGCAGAGGAAATTTTTATTGTAATAAGTGTAAAGGGTTGTGAACAAATTCTGGATAACAGGGAGTGTCAGATAATAGAGGCTGGGAGAATTAATGTAGTGGCTTATACTATAAAAGAGTGTAGTATTCAGCACTTCCCATCGCATACTTTTCTTCTTGGCTGGACCAGGGCATTGAATCAGGCTATGGCTTTTTGAAGCAACTGTCATGTCTTTTTATAATAGTAGCTTTAACGGTATCCACCCTTGAAACAGAGATGAAACCTGTAGTTATATATATTTTGGAACTCGGAGTATAAGTGTTGGTCTACTATACTGTGCTTCAAATAAGTTTGGTTACAAAATATTTTATAAGAAAGTAAAGCCTTTTAGTGCCAGGCCACTTAATTTGAATGTGTGAATTACAACTGTTCATGTTCAAATTTAAAGATGAATGCTTCAGCATTATGTATCTAACAAGGTAAAAACACTAATCTCTGGATTCTAGATGCAAAAAAAAAAAAAAAATTACATTTGCAGAAAGGTGGTTTCTTTTTCTTATTTTTTCCTAAATAAAGAGTTTAGCTGCTGTTACTTGGTTTGATTGTTGTAGCCTGGTGTTTTTGAAGATTCCTATTTGAAGCAGATTAATACAGCCCACTTAGACACTGTTAATTGTCTTTCCCTAAGTTTTTGAATCAGACCCGTCAAGCACTTGAGATGAAAATGGAAAACCCAGGTACTGGTGGTGCCCCAGTCATGAGGCCAGTCATGCAGCCGCAAGTGGGGTCACAGGTGAGTAATCATCACACTCACCCTTCCAAAATAGCATGTTGTAAAATAGCAGGGAACAAACATGTCACACACAAGTCCTTATAGAATTCAGGCCTTCTCTCATGGTTCCACGGGGTATATTTATTTTCTTTGGGGGCTGAAGAATGATCCTCATTATCAAGTGGGTATATCCCCCACAGTTCTGAAATTGCAGACTTGTGGGCACTGGTACCTGTGGTCTGTTATGATATGCTACAGATGCAGAGTGTAAGTAGTATTTTACCTATATGAAATGAGTGGTAAGAAGATAACATCCTGCATTAGCTTTTAGCATGAATAAGATAGTTTAATGCAAACTTAAACTTGATATTTTGATCATTTTAACACTGCCAACTGGCTTTCATTAATGTGAATTCCATTGCTAGCCCTGAATGTGCTGGGTCATATGGGTACAAAATATGTACATGGATTGATTCTCTGGCATGCCTTTAATTTTACTTTGTTAAATATCATCCAATACATTTTTTTTGTTTGTTTGTTTGTGGGGTAGCAGCAAGGTTTTCTTAATGCTCAGATGGTGGCTCAGCGCAACAGGGAGCTAATAAGTCATCATATCAGACAGCAGAGGATGGCAATGATGATACAGCAGCAACAGCAACAACCTCAGACCTTCAGTCCACCACCAAATGTGACTGCCTCAGGAAGCATGGACAGTTCTCTGGCAGGTCCCCCAATGGCTCAAGTTCCTTCGCAGCAATTCCCATATCCGCCTAATTATGGTACTGATGCTCACATCTCAACTCTGTCTCTCCCTCACTCCATCTTCCCTTTCTTCCATTTATCTTATCTACCTAAATATTCCAGATCACCATGAGGCTTGGGAAAAAAAATTCTTATAAAAAAGTGTGTGGGTGGGTGGGTGTGGTTTTCAGAGATCCTGAACACACTGTGTAACCAAACATTATTAAATGGAACTCCCTCTGTCAGAGTGAGGGAGGCTATCCATTTATTTCCCATACCAGGCGTGATTTCATCAAATATACATGTAAGTCATTTCTGTTTGTGAAGATACAGTATAAACAATGAGAGCCCAAGAATTTACATTATCATTGTTTGGTTATTTTCCAATATCTATACAATTGTTATGCAAAGCTCTCTGGCTGCTGCTTCCAGAATTTGCCATATGCTGCCCATAATAAAAATGGCTTCCCCTTCCTGCAGATATATTAAAGCAAGTGAAAGTTAGAAGGAAATGGAGAGGATTAGGATGGCTAAACCTTTGTTGGTAATAGTCTAAGCACAGTGATCTCCAGTATACAGACGAGTGCAGGGGTGAGAGGAGAGTGTAGGGAAAACTGCTAACCTGTGTAGCTTGTTTCCATCCTGGGCTAAAAAATTGCTTAGAACTTTTGTTTTAGGTTTCAGCATTTATTCAGCCCAGGAAATGGTTATTACCATATAAATATGGAGCTCCGTTGGTTATCATTTAAATAGTCAAAAAATTAAAACACAGTTAACTGTGCTGCCAATGAGCTTACTGTTTGTTTACTATGTAATTAGTTTATTGATCTATTGTTTCCTGATGTAACAGATTCTATTACGCTTCTCTTCCCCCACCCCCTTTTCTGTTTTGATAACTTTCTTGCCTGGATGATTCCATACTGTCATGATTTCCATAGAACTGTTCAGTAGTTCATTTATAGAAAGCAATGAATATTTATTTGAATTCATGCAGCATCTATCTGTACCTACTATCTGGCTGCCCTCAAAACCCAGTTTTGAGAGAGAAAAGTCATTATTGTGAATCCAGATACATAATCCCAAGTAAATTCTCTAACCTGTTTGCTACAGAACACTACAGCAACTTATATCTGACTAGCTTTCTGCAGCATTCTCTTAAATGCAGTCATTTTATTAGAATATGAGACATTCCTGATACAATTAAATGATTTAATTACCAAGATGGATGTTACATATTATATTAACTTCTTACTTGTTAGCTTCTTTGTGTTATAATTTCTCATGCACACCTATGATGCTGTATAAATAATACCGAGGAGGAAAATATCTTTTGTTTCTTTTCACACATGAGTTACGAGGAAAATGTAAATAGCTCCTATTACGAGTATTGGAGGAAAAACTTTTGAAACACTGCTGAAAACTTAAGGAAAACTGAAAATATCTTGTTATAAATCATTTTGCTAATTATAGCCTATGTGTCTTTGCCCCTCCCTTTTGCAATATTACTGAGATTATTTGCAAAACCAGGATTTTATTGCTAAAATGTTTGTCTGCTTGTGCTACTTATTTGTCACATTAAGTTATAATTTGATATCACAACTAGTTGCTGTGGAAAGAATACGGAGTTCAGATGGGCAATAAGCTGCAGAAGCGAATGAAATTTTAAATGTGCATGTGCGCACATACAAATCCAATTTCCATGTAAGGGAAATGCAGACTAGTGTTTAAGAACAATTGTAAATCTCTGGGGGTTCAGGACTCATCACGCTTGTTAATGTGATGAGACATTTTTCATCCTCCATTGCAAGGAGATAGACTAAAAATCCTTAAAGATGACAATTAGCATCTGTTTTGTTTGTTCTTTGTCTTGTAAGGAATAAGCCAACAACCTGATCCCACGTTCAGTAGAGTAGCAAGCCCTCCCAACCCAATGATGTCATCAAGAATTAGAGCCTCTCAAAATCCCATGATGCAGCACTCTCAAACAGCAGCAATGTACCAGTCCCCTGAGATGAAAGGCTGGTCATCAGGAAACATGGCCAGGAGCAGGTGAGCAGTAAAGACTTAAGTCAGTGTTTTTCAAGTGTGACCAGTGATTTTGGGTGTCCCAATTTTCAAGTGCCAAAATTAAGACATTTCAAAGGGAGCTGATTTTCAGAGGGTGGGTGCTTAGCACTTTCTGAAAATCGTGGAGGAAATCTTGGCTCCATTAAAATCAATGGGAGTTTTGCCATTGATTTCAGTGCAGCCAGGATGTCACCCCAGGTCTCTTTTAAACTGTCTGAAGTTGGACACCAAAAATTGCTAGTTGCTTTACAAAGTCATGGCCGTATTTCTTAAATAAACACCCAGAATCTCTAAGTGTATGCTGTACAAAAAGCTAAGTAATCAAAACCTATATTCATGTTACTCAACACAATAGACATTAGTGTTTTACCTTCCATTAAAAATGTACGTGTGTGTGTATGTAGCACGCACGCCCACACATAGTAAAAATAACATTAAGGTTCTAACCCAAAGATGCACAGGCAAGGAGATTCTGATTTAAGGTTTCCATGAATCCCTTGACCCTTCAATGCTAAGATTAAGGGTTTCATGGGAGTCTTTAAGGAACAGTATCTAGGCCAGTAAACTTAACTTTTTATCCTCTGTCTCATCTGCAAAGTCCTTATAATTCTTTGGGCTTGTCTACACTTCCAAGACCGGTGATGGATGCATCGCCGGTTGATTTAGCAGATCTAGTGAAGACCCGCTAAATCACCCACACCTTGCTCTCCTGTTGACTCCCGTACTCCACTGGATGGAGAATAGTAGGGGCAGTTGACAGGAGAGCATTTCCCATCGACATCGCATAGTGTGGATCCTGCAGTAAGTAGATCTAAGCTACGTTGATTTGAGTTGCGCTATTCACGTAATTCAAATTGCGTAGCTTAGATCGATTTTCCCCTGTAGTGTAGACAAGGCCTTAGTGTATTTGGTGGGCTTTTTACCAGATTTTCAAAGCTTTCTTGTTTGTTGTTTTCCATGACTTAAATACAGATACACACTTCTTATTAATTAGCAGTGGACAGAAAGGAAAGATAAAGTACACGTTTCACCAGTACACCAGTTAACATGAAATTGTCTTCTGTTTGGAATTTTGGCAATGATTCTTTCAATGTAAACCATCTAGAGGGACATCTACTGGGAATATAAATCCACTGCATGGCTGTCAATGGTCTTTCATATTCTGCTTCAACCAGCTTTGAATTCTGGGAACATGAGCTAAAAATAGCTACATGTTCTTACTTCTGCTGAACTTAATGCCTTTGCTACAGCATTTTCTTACTCACGACCGAGAAATTGTCTTCATTGCACCTGAATGTTAAATCTGTCTTACATTTTGCAGCAGAAAAGGATTTGGGTGAAGATAAATTGAACATTTCAGTTTCTAACCAACAAATAAGAGAGATCATGTCCTTGTAGTAATTAGTGTCTGTTATGCCCTTGATCCTGCCCTGGCTGGGTATGAATAGATGACTGAATAGATTTTTCACCTAACATCCATTAGAGTTTATATCTTTATAATTAGAAATCAGATTTAGTCTAGGAATATTGACAAAATACCTTGGAAGAAATTTAATTGTGCACAACAATATTATGATGGTGGACTAATGTGATCACTGGAATCCCTAAAACGGCTACAAGAGAGAGCTTGTTTCCGTTAATTAGTAAGAACACTTACCAGATTCCTGAAAAGTAAATTGATTTGTAAATTTCAGATAAAAATTAAAACTGATCAGAGTACTGGTATTTCTATATTGTCTATCCAATATGTAAAAGTAACAAATGGGGTACCTTCTGGTTCTGGTAATTATATAAAGATTTAATTCTATTTCTTATCTTTCTGCCATGTCAATCACTTGTGGCCTGTATAAGGATGGCAGTGCATTAAAATACCAATCAAACTTTATGGAAGGTAACTTTATTTGTTCTTGTGTGCTCCAGTTCTTTTCCACAGCAGCAGTTCAGCCATCAAGGGAGCCCTACAACTTATAATCTGATGCATATGAATGGCAGCAGTGGTCATATTGGACAAATGAACATTAACACCATGCCTATGTCAGGGATGCCTATGGGTCCAGACCAGGTAAGATTACTGTAACAATTCACTCAACTGATAAACAGTTCTGTAGAGATTCAGAGGCTTGGTCAGCCCTAAACATCTAGGTAGTTATAAGATCCTTTTAAAGGTCTGTAGCTCCTCTTTTCCCATTGAGTACAATCGGTTCTCAAGCTGGCCGACTTCCTCTCACACACTGGTTTTCAGTTCTCGCTGTCCCCTAAGTCATTTGAGGATAAAGCTTTCATTTTGCTCCAGTAGGTTCTGTCTAGCTTTGCTGATATCCATTCTGAAGCCTGGCAGTTTGCTTCTAGGTTAGCTGTTTTTCTTCAGGTATCTCATGATTGTGGCTCAAGAGACACAATGGTCACTTAAGTATTACTGAGCTTGGGGAAATTCCGGAGACCAAAATACTTGAAAGGGGCAACTGTATCTGCTGAGATTTTGCAAGTTGTCTGCAAGACCATCTTCAATCTAAGAACAAAGGTTTCAACTAGACTAAACTGACAAATTTCACATTGGAGAGTGGGAGTAATAGAAGTACTAGTTCTTATCTTGTAGACAGAGTCCAATAAAGGCGATTCTTCTCCCTAAAAATGGATTGTCTTAATACTTTAATCTTCAAAATACACACTGGGCCAGACAGTGTGTGAAAATGCCTCGATAGCTCAGTGGTTAGGGCATTCCCCTGGGTGGTGGGAGACCCAGGTTCCAGTACTTTTGCTCCAATTAATATTGATCCACAACGGAGCTGCTCCATCAGGAGACCATTGAGAGAGACCTGGCCCTAGAATACTCCACATCCCAGTGGTTAGGGCATTTTCCTGAGAAGTGGGAGAACCAAGTTCAAATCCCTGCTTCACATCAGGCAGAGGGAGGAATTGAATCTGGGTCTCCCACATCTTGGGTGAGTGCTCTAACTAATGGAATAAAAGTTATGAGAGGGGGCACCATCATCTTCTCCTTCCCTGATTTTGTGTGGGTTTAGACTTGCTTTGAGCATGCCACTGAATTGGGCCCTACAGAGTTATGTGGCAGCTAAGTAGGAGTTTTGTGAATGCCAGCAGTGACTCTCTGGTGGGACATAAGTTCCTTAGTGCCCCTTGTGATTCCATCCTGGTGTTTTTCTGATTGTTGTTGTTTTTTTGTTTTCCTTTAACAGAAATACTGCTGACACCTAAAACCGTGATCTCCCAAAGTAGAATGATCTATATTAATGATGATGCACTAGTATTACAAAGAAAAGCTACATATTCTTCGTGGCAACTAGTACTGGCCTTATGGAAATAACTGATTTTTCCAGCTGATCACCAAGATGTCCCAAGTGACTTCATACAAAAAAGACTTTTTTTTAGTAGAAGCAGTCTCTCTGTATTACTGTATATTGTGGTGTACAAAACAATGGTCATAAATATTTTTGGCACTCTGCCTCTAGAAATGTGAATTTGGGAATGGCGTTTTAGTAAATATGATGGGTAGACTCTATGTATACCACTTCTATTTACTGTAGCTATCCAAAGCCCTTTAACTACAGGCAGGCAAAAGTGCCTGGAGAAGTCATGGTAGATAAGAATTCTGATTTCTCTAGTAAGAATATCTGACAGAGAATGTAGTTCCTAGCCTTGACTCTTTTATATTAATTCCTGAATACAAATGCTGCTTTTAACCTCTTATCCCCAGGAGTCAGGATTTCCAAGCATAGTGGCAATGCAGAATGAATTGACATGTAATGTTCCAAAATCCTGCCCATTGATGCCAAGGGGGGTTACAGAGAAAATAAATTAAAATTATTTAAACATAATCGTGACTAATATTTAAATTTTGATGTGCAGCTGAGTGCACTTTATAAAAGGCTATATAACGGATTAATGCAATATCTTTGATAAGGATTAAATAAACCGAAAGGTAGGGTGTACTCATGTTCTTTTTCAAATCCAATCTTTTAAGAATTGTTGATTGAAAAGACTGTGTACTGTAATGTTTTATGTTATTGGAAATTAGAGCAATAATCCTTCATGTTTTTTGGGGGGAAAAAACCTTCAGAAAAATCAAGGCAAGGCACTGCAGTCTGAATCAGAATTTTGCAGGGTTTTTTTTTTCTTTTTTTGTGAATAAATTTTGTAAATATGATCTTTAAGAATTGTATTATATATATGACTTTTGTAGGTCACTAACTCATTTTTGCAGAGTTTGTGAAGCTAAATATTTAACAAAGTTGATTTCTGTAAACTCATCTAAGTTGAGGTCCAGATAGAAGACCTTTCAAATTTTTTTTTTTTAATTTAATGACCTTGGAGTTGGGTGACTTTGGCCCATATCTTTTTCTTCTTTGGTCTTTGCCACTTATTTTATATCTTTAACCTAATAGCTTTTTTAAAATATAATTTGTTTAGGGTTAAGCAATTGGTTAATGCTTTCTCCACATTAAGTGAGCACTTTGTTACATTTCATTTTTTATATAGGGCAATTTGACAAAAAAGGCTCCCTGGATTGTAAGCTGTCATGACTTTGTCATAACAGTTCATGTGGTTTTATATAGCCTTTTTAGTTAATGAGTCCGTATTGTCAGGACTTTTGGTTATCTTTAATGAACCCTAAATGTTTTTCTAGCAAAGATGCCTATTGCTAAGTATTTCTTGTTAATTACTTCTCCACCATCACATCTTACAGCAAGCAACTCATTTGTTGTCACATGACATCCAGAAATCTTTATGGATATTAAGCCACAGTTTAACCAAATGTCTGCACCTCTTTGGATTGTTCTAATGTAATGAATGTATTTTCCAAACAAGTGTCTACTATCAGTATTCATGTTAGGTTACAAGTCTATTCATCTTTATCTGTCGACAGGTTGTATTTTTTGTCCATAAAACGAAGATGCTATTACAGATTATCCACTTTCAGACAGATGGCGATTGAAACCTGGAAACTTCCATAAGGGTGTGAACCAGAAATGTTTTAAGGAATGTGGTGCTTTTGTTCTATTGTTCATTGTGTAATGGAAAACAGACTTCTCCTGAGTGAGTGAAAATCAGTGATTCTGATCATTTCTTTTTGGTACTGTAACTATGAAGTCATATTTTGTTTTGCAGTAACTCGAAGGAACTTCCATGTTCTTCCATTTTAATGAAAATAATTTTCTGTGCAAAAATTCACACAACTTTCATCCTATATCTACAGCCACAGGCCTACTCCACAAGGCAGGCAGGCGCAATAAAAATCTGCTTTTTATGCAGCCTAGTCTGTACAATCAGCATTGAGAACATAGATTTGGCTGTAGTAATTTAGTTGTTTCCACTCCTCAGTCTGGTTCAGCTGTGTTGTAATGCATGACATTTAAAAGCATAAGGAACTGTTTTCCCCTTTCTTGCTTTTTAGAATCCACCTGCTGGTTGAGTCAGTGCAACGTAATGGGAGTTGAAAGGCAACAATCCCTTGCTTTTTATATTAAATCAGAATAGAATGATTTTATATCTTGTAGTTGTTCATTATATTGATGGAAGCTGCAAACCTTGATTGCTTTGACTAGTGAAATCTTCAGGATATGTACTACTTTATGCTTTTTGCCCTTAACTTTTTTTTTTTTTTTGAGAATGATTCTATTTATACTTCTAAAATGTGGTACCTGATGGATGTTACAAAAGATCCTTCTTCCCTCATCTGCTTTTAGAATGTTGGTTTTTTCCAGTAATTACTTTTTGCTGAATCCAAAGATTTGTTTTAATTCAAATATGATAAAAAGATAAGCCTTTTTAAACCTTTTAAAATTAGTGTTATTGAAACCTTTCAAGGCAACAATCTAAATATTTCACCTAGGTTGAAAAGTGTATTTACTAAACTAAATAGTCCTTTGATTTTGGTGGTATTTGATATCTCCAATGACTGTGTTTTGGTTCTACAGCAGCAAAGTTTTCTGAATGATTCAAGAAGCTGTATAACTATTTTTGACAATACGATTACAGTTTACTAGTGTAACCAGTTGAATCACTACTGCATAGCAGACATAGTCTCACTACATGCCTGCCAGGTTTCCTGTTGATTATAGAAACCATGTGTTATAAAATCCATTAGCAATTTTTTATTCAATCTCATCCTAAATTTGTGCTTTTAACGTGAGGAATTCAAGAGCATTTTTTAAAGCTATAAACAAAACTATTTGAATGTTGCACCAATTAGCACACATTTTATTTTAGATTTTAAGTGCAGATCGATGATAGAATGATACAGCAAGTATGAAACCATATAATTCTGAGAGCAATATTTAAAAAAAATTCTCAGGAGAAGGCATACAGTATTGAGAATTGCATTTAAATTTAGTTTACATTAAAGTACTGCTTGAAATATGTGTGTATCTTTACATTGCAAAAACAAAAAACCATGTGGGCTGATTTATAAAAGGGTTGGTTATAAAGTATTACTGCTCTTCTGATTTTTGTGTTTTGATGTTAATAATAATGTAAATAAAGGTTTCTATTTAAAACCAGAACTTGGTGATTTAGTATGTCAGCTGTTTAAGCTCTGAAGGGTGCCAATTATATTCTAACAGGGCCAGCAATGTAGCATTTCCCCACCAAACCAAAATATAGCCACTCTTTGAGCGATAATGTAACACTATTATGTGAGAGAGGCTAGATTTGGGGAATGATTTAAGAAGTCTTGGTTTCCTGGGTTTAGGTATGTCTCAACTGCAAAATTGCCTATAAAATGATCTTTCTGGCTTTAAAAATAGTGTTCTGACACACAACCTACAACTAGAAGGAAGGGTGGGGAAATAAAAAGAACTTGGGAACAACCAAAGATTTGGGACAGAAGTTTTCTTGCTATAATATATATCTTCTGTCATAGGGAGAGCCACAGGCTGAAGCCAAGTTTTGTGTAAGAGTTTGAAAATATACTTTGCCATTTTTTCCTGAAATGTATATTCAAGACTCTTATACTGTACTAAACTACAGAGAAAGTGGAGTATTTTTAGATGGAGGTAGAGATGTAATTTTTAGAGTACTTCCGATTGATATAGAGCAGCATTATTAACATTAGTTGGCCTTCCAGGATTCCACCTTCTCCCATCTCCAAAGTTGCTGCTAGATGACAGAGAAACGTAAGTTTCCTTTTTTCTCCCAGATGGGAATTGTATACAGATACATACACTTTCTTCTTTGGGAAAGGTTTGGAAAACAGTGAAGACACAAATTCTGCAGAGAGACCATTTGCCACTTACTTGTATCAGACTTCCATCATCCTTGTAAATGTCTTTTCTTTCTGGTGAATCCACTAATGTTTTAAAATCAGTATAAGCGAATATTTGATTGCATTTCCTAGCCCAGCACACATACTCTACTTTTGAAGTACAAAACTCTGACACAACAGTTTTGGACAATATATTAAATCTGGGATGCGATGAATACAGGTTTAAACCAAATTTACTTTTCCTAGCTTCACTGAAAACATACAGCAAAAGCCTATAGTGTCACCCTTGAGAGAGTTTATTTGCTCAACTTCTGTTTCCACATTCACCAATACTTTATTAGGTTATCATATAATAGACCTCTAGCACCACACACAAATATTATGTGTCCCCAGCAAGTAATCTCTGTTGAAGCTTCCTATTAGTTTTTTTTTTTTAAAAGTGCCCCAGTACTTTGCTTATTTGAAACATGTTTAGAGAGCCAGAGCTGCAAAGTTGTTTTGAAAATCTGTCTCTTTCGGGTAGTCAGAATGGAGAAAAGAATTACTAAACACATTCAGATTTTTCCTTCTGATGGTCTCCCACTGGATACTCAACACACAGCATCTATTATGGTGAGCACCCCATTTCAAGTTTTGTATATGATTAACATGAAAACTAACCTTTAATGCATTTGCAGAGCCTGTTTGGAATGTATTTAATAACCTTTTCTTTATGAAAATATTCAGAAATACTTAAATTACTTAGGAAATGATTGGGGATTCCCCTTCCTAATACTTACTGCAGATTATAGACATTAAATCAAAAGTTCTAGTTTCCTGTACACTGAGCTATAACTTTTTTTATTGGCCAAGATTGTTGCTTTTTACAAATGTAAAAATTATGCCACTAAGCGAACATGTGCTTTCTCAAACAAGTTGTTTTCATTTTGAACATACAATATAATTTTACCACATAAAAAGACTTCATACAAATCTGATTTCAGTAAAATTCAAGACATACATTAACTGAAATTTTGCAGTGCTTTTAAAAATGGATAAATTCTGAAATTTATTATGTAATGTTTAAGTAACAAGGTACCATTTTGAGAAATGATAGTTGGGCATTCCACTTTTTTTATTGACAGAATTTCTTTTGAACAAGACATTGAATATTTACAGAACCACTCCAGCAATCTGCTTTTTTGTTACTCAAGATTTTCTCTATTTTGCCTACAGCTGGCAATAGGGTGGCTATGGAGACAGTGAACTAAAATGATATCCTTAGAGGAAACTTGAAGTATCGTGCTGTTGAGCATTTTTAGCTGCTGCTTCTTTAGTGCTGCTGGCTTGAATTCCTGAATCACTAAATAATAATTTTCTACCACTGATTTAATTTGCCCCAGTCAAAAGTAAAAATTTCCACATTGTTTAAACTTTGCTTTGCAGCTGTTCTAATGACATTCGATGGGGTAGCTAAGAGAGGTTTTTAATTTGTTCCCACTGAAATAATTTTGTGGGTGCTATGTGCTTTGAGGTGTCAATCCACGCATGGGGTTAGCCTCATTTTCTCTTCCATCAATTCCTTGAACTGCGGTGACTTCATGAAGTATAATCCAAAGCAGAAGCAGATGCAACAGTGGCCTTCAAAAAGGGACCTATATTCCTGACAGTAGTTCCCCCAAATTCACTATCTATTTAATTCACTTAACAGTGCAAACGTTCTATCTACTTCAACCTCAAAGTTCATCCAGTCCTCCAGGCTAACATTATAATTCTTTCTGAAATCATATACATTTTCTTTAAGTCTGTACAAGGATTCAAGTTCTGGCCGGTTTGTATCCTCATTGAGGTCCAGCAGTTGCAGGAGGTTAGCCTTCCCATCCTTCCCACAGTTGTCCTCTTTAAATAAAATAAACATATTTTAGTGTATGTGTCTTCTCATATGCTGGGATGTGAAGTATTTGCAAATGTAAGTTTGTTTCTCAGTACTGCCACGCAGGAAAGATAGTGGATCTACTTATCTGTGGACCACCTAAAATCATTTTTGTGGAGAACATGGTATAGCTAAGCAATAGCCTCTTAAAATGAGGCCCCAAAAATTGTTAGCTAAAATAAAGTGTCATATTGATCATTTGCCATAAATAGAAGCTTAAGTTTGAAACATTCTTCAATACAGTACTCTTAGTTAGCCCTTATTTTAACAGTTGTTACTCCATGTAGTTCTAAAGCTGATTGTCACAATTTTTTTATTGCAAGTTAATTACATCAGAAATAAAGAATCACAAAATTAAGGGTAGAGTTATGAATTAACCTGATCTAATGTACTTATATGGCCCCCACTGCCATAGTATCTGAGTGCCTCACACTTTTTAATGGATTTATCATCTTCACATCCCTGCAAGGTCAGGTATGACAGTACTGCATTAATAGAGAAAGATGCATTCAACAAAAAGAAAACAGAGGATTCTAGCAGAATGTCAGAATATATTGAAGTATATTTTGCAGTCAAGTTATTTTTCATGAATAGTTTGAGTAATTCAATCTTGTCCCCTCCTGCTCATAGTACACGAGGCCACTGGGGAAATAGTGGGATTTTTTGCCCCTTGCAGACACAGCAGCCTGTACAATCTCACTATGTCTCTGCTTTGTCAGATCCAGTTTGTGTGGTTGACAGGCCTGCCCAGGGCCATTCTGAGGTTATGGCTTGAAGAGAGGGAGCTGCTGAGACTTAATTTAGACAAGACTGAGATTATGCTAGTACCGGGGGGGGGGAAAAAAATCAGATCCTTCAACTGAGGGAATTAGCCTGCCTTCACTTGCTTATGTTTGCAATTCTGCTAGTCACAGCTGCCTTCTGGGCATCCAGAAGCAGCCACGGATAAGGGATTTTAGGTATCTGTATTTGGCAAAAAAAGTTGCAGTCTTTTATCTGTGATTCCGAGTTTATAGCAGTGAACCACATCTGTGTCACCTCAAGACTGAAAAACTGTATGTGCTTTATGGGGCCGCAAGCTGAAACTATTTAGAAACATGCTGGTACAGAATAGGGCTGCCCTCTTGTTCAGTGGCATTTCTTGTTGGGAGTGTGTTACGGTTGTACTCTGCAGTGGCTTCTAATTTCTTTCTAAATGTAATTTAAGGTGCTTGCTTTAACGTATATATCTTTTAAATGGTTTGGGTGCTGGGTTGGTCATAGAGCACCTTTTTCTTAATGCAAATATTGAGTTAGTTCCCTAGATTAATTGAAAGGAGGCAGAAGTCTGAAGATTTTTGGTGAAAGTTGTGTACCTTCATTTCAAGGGCGCATAGTAGAAAATAATGTAGCCAGTTTGAATGTTTAACCTCCTTCACTGCAGCAATTTTAGAATAACCCTTAGTTTGTCAGCATTGTGTTCAATTAACAGAACTACAGTACCATCTTTAAGTGTGAGGCTCCCCTACTTGAAAAGAGTAACTGAGAATAGATGCTGCATGCAAAAAGGAGAGAGAAAAATAAATGTTAAATCAAAGGTAATGCTTTTCATGAACTAACTCCCAACTCACAGCGACTTGGAAGATGAAGGTCTCTTCATTTCTGGCCACCTTCGACGCTGAAACTGCCTAATTATCAAGCAGCAAAAGGAGAAAAAAAGGTTAACCATCACCAAGAAAACCACAAGCACTATGGTATGAAAGATGGGAAAAGATTTTAGCTTGAATCTGAATTACAGGAACTAGAACATGCTCTGCCAATGAATAAATAGGAATACCCCAGAAATTCAAATTAATGGGGCTGGAGGAAAAGTTTGCATCACAGGTATCCCTGGCACAGACAGGTGAGTCCCTCCTCTGCTTTCCCAACCTCAGATTCCTCATAGCTTACTGTGAAGGTGAGTCCTGATAAAAATTAAACTTGTTTTAAAACGTACCTAAACTGCTCGTAGCTTCCATCCTTAAGCCCTTTAAATTAAAAAAAAAAATAGTAGTTATCAACTGATGCCTGCAAAAGAATAAGGTATTGGGTAAGGCACGATGCAAAAAATTGTGATGTCTCAGAACCTTCTACCTACTAACCCAGTGGTTCTCAAACTTTTATACTGGTAACCCCTTTCACACAGCAAACCTCTTAAGTGCGACCCCCCCTTATACATTAAAAACACAATTTTTTATATTTAACACTATTATAAATGGTGAAGGCAAAGTGGGATTCGGCAAGGGTGGCTAACAGCTCGTGACACCCCCCCGCCCCCGATCCCCAGTGTGAAAACCCTGTATTAACCTTAATTCACAAGCCACTTTTGGGGTTACATAACCAAGTTCAAATTAGGTGGTGTGTACTCTGATCTGTGTTATCATTATCCAGAATCTAAGCCTTTTCTACTCTACATCAACATAGAGTTAGATTTTACAGCACCCTGGTAATTCACAGGCAGGTTCATTTAAATAAATGTAGTAGAAACATCTATTAATATAAATACACAGATACAATCAGTATAGAAGCCCCTGTGCTATTTTTAATCCCCCACACCAGGGGAGTGGGGT